GGGGAACGGATGCGGTGCGCAGCACCGGTGGAAATCACGGCCTAAATAGCCGTGATAGAGTTGGGTCGAGGTCTTACCGGAAAGGGAGCAGGGAGAGTGAGGGAGGGGGTGAGAGAGCCAGGAGTAGGGATAGGTGAGGGAGCGAGGAGAGCAGGGAGGCCCTGGGCAGTTGGAGGGCTGGGCGAGAGGGCAGTGCCCTGAACGTGGTCTAGCAGGGGGAGTTGGGGATCTGGGCTGTGTGTGTTTTGTGTACTCGTGTGGTTGCCCTCTCCCCAGGAATTGGGGCCCGCTGGAGTGAGGGGAATGGGTCCTGTGCTGTCTGGCATCAGAGTAGAGAAGACGTAGGTGGCTTGTGGGAGTGGAGAGGAGGTGGGAAAGCGGTGGAGGAGAATGGTTTGGAGGTGGAGAACAGGTGTTGCTGGTTCCGGCCAGTCAGGGTCAGGAGGGGAGGGATATCGGTGTGGTAAGCGGGAGCAGGCAGCGTCTGTGAGCCGTGCCTTTTCCGGGCTTTATAGGGGGGCGCCATGCTGGCTTGTCATCCCCCCCGCGGCTATAGGTGTTTTTGCTGTGTCTCGCGCTGGGCTGCATCCGAGAGCCCGCAACCCCAGGAGGAGACTGACGTGTGTACCAGTTTCACCTCGTTTGTGAGTGGACCGGCGAGGTATTGGTGGCCACCCTCGGGAAGTGTTCGTTCTTCGTTGCTCGTGGTAGTTGAACAGCTGGCCTTCGAGGACCAGTGTGCGAGTACTCGCTTTGTGTTGGTCTTTTCTGTGCATCCGTATCTCGGCTTTTGTGGTGTGTCATCTCAGGCCCGTGGTCCTCCGTGTATCCCTTGCCTTGCTGGCCGCGTGGGGCCGGGGTTTTTGAGTGTGTAGAGAAGCCCCCTGAGTAGAGCCCCTTCCCCCGGTGGTGTTTTCGTTTTGTTCTTGTTTTGGTGGTCAAGAGGGATGAGAGCGCGCGAATAGGCAGGCCAGGCAAAGTGGCGCCTTTCGTGCGGCTCTCGCATAGTTCGGTTAGCAGTCTTTTGCGCCGCTGTGTCGCCTAGCCAGGGACTGGGAGAGCGTCCCGGTTGGCGTGAGTGAAGGAATGAGGCGCGCACGGAGGAACAGACGGAAGTAAAGCCGTGCGCCCATCCCTGCGCTGTGTTTCGGCCCGGTCAGGGCCACCGGTGCTCGTCCTTTATCAGGCGAGCCGCCCACAGTGTAACACCCCATCAACAACAGCATCAACAACAACAAGCTGAAACAACATTACAATTCTTCTTACCCTAAAAGGTTTGACGTACCCAGGCTATGGCTCCCACGAAGAAGCCAAACGACACGTGGAAGGCGGTGCTGTGCTGATTCAGGTAATCCAAGTACAGCTGACGATACGTTTTTTGGACTATCCTCCGTGGAAAGTACACGGCAGCAGTGCCCGGAATCTTTACACTGTCCCGCGCGTGTGGACTGAGTACACTGTTTTTGTACCAAAAACACGCAATCTCCTCCACGACCCCCTTAGGAATTTTGTCCGAGCGCGCAATCAGCCTGTATGGGCGAGCAGGTTGGGTGCTAGCTCCGCCAACTACTTCCTTGAAGCGCTCGCCTGCAGCCCTGATGGCACTTTTCCTTAAACCCACGCGCCTGTGCAGTGCGTCTGTGTTCCCCCGGATTTCCCTGATCTGAGGGCCTAGTCCAGGGATACAGAGGAAGGGGTATTAAGTGTGTAGTGTGTGAGTCTGTGTGACGTCATCAGGGTATGTTATGCCATCAGATCAGTGGTGTACACGGGATGGAACCGCAAATATGTGCATGGGTACGCTTCCAGTGTTGGGATTACCTGATACCGCCGTAGTAATAACACTTATGGCTGTCTGAAGACTCTTGATTTGCCCTCCAGGACGTCGGATGGCGTCCAGGAATTGCTTGACTGAGTCCACTATTGCCTTATCAATGCGAGCGCTGTTGTACTGTTCATGTAGTTCCTTAGAGAATCTTTGAGATAGATTACTGAAAAACTCTTTCCTCTGATCGCTTGAAAGTCGGTTACCTTTCCAACCAAATTTGTCACCTCGGAGTCCATACCATAATCATGCACGCTACAATCACGAACGCACTATCAAACCTGTAGAGTGTATAGTGACTTTGAAACAGCTATTCCACCTGTGGCCTAATTGTGTATTGGCCAGTGCGATGGCTGCTAGGGCAGCGCGTTCGGCGGTAAATCGCAACTATGCTGATCTAAGTACCTGTACGCACACAAAGTGTTGAACGAGAATTTTGGACTGTTACGAAGGGACGTGTTGTTGGATTCCAGTCAGACTTCCTTATTAATATTCCGGCCTCTGACCTAAGTAGTTAGTCAGTCTGGTCGTGGTAGGATTTGGTGCCCGCGCGCGCGCTAAAGATTTCTCTCGACTTGTGCGATGTACGGCTTTGCTCAGTGCTGCGGGACTATAAATCTCGCTACTTCGCTGTCTTAGTCAGTTGCCTTATTGTAACGACATGACCTGGTAGAGACTTTCGGAGTTGTCTCTTTGTGCCTTTGGCAGCTCATTTCATCAGGTTATGAGCCCCGTCTGATATACGGTGGCATTTATTTTCAGTGTTCGTTGGTATAGACGTTCTTTGGTGACCAGCCTTCGAAATGGCGTCGTCCCACTCGTCTTTTCGTACTGTTCTGAGTAAGGAAACCTGTGATGAATGGTTTCTTATGGCTGCTTGCAAAACAAATTGCGGGATGCGAGGCGAAGTGCAGTCTTGCGTACTGCTGAAGTCGCAAGTCGCAAGTCGCAAGTTGCAAGTCGCAAGTTGCAAGTCGCAAGTCGCAAGGAACACGCAAAATTTCTATTATGATATAATATATACGCGAATACGTACGTGTGCATACTCAGTTTGTAGAGCGGATCTCACAATGGGAGAAGTATTGAACCGTTACTACTACAGCAAACAAGTGCGCGAACGTGTTTGCCACCTCTATTTCGACGAGGTTTACACGCAAGCGCAAATAGCTGAGGCTTTCGGGCACAGACCTTGCGAGAGGACTGTGCATGCTATCATACAGTCCTACGTGGCGAATGGCGATGTCCTGCCGCTTAGAGGACAATCAGGAACACGCAAACCACGCAAGTTTGATGAGATCGCTGCACAGACGCTGGTGGAGCTGGTGCAGGCCGACGACCAAGCATCGCTCTCCGATCTGGCCACCGCTATGACAAACTTACTGGGCACTCTTTGGAGCGGCCCTGATATTAGCCGTGCATTGTCTGAGCTGGGTTCGTCCGCAAGAAGGTTTTTACCAGGGAATCAGCTCAGCTGGCATATCGCGAGCTTGTGTGACAATATGTTCAAATGGCCCAGAAGCCTCCCACTCTGTAACAATTCATTTCAATCTCGTGAGCTTGTGCGCGCGCGTGTGTGTGTGTGTGTGTGTGTGTGTGTGTGTGTGTGTGTGTGTGTGTGTGTGTGTGTGTGTGCGTGTGCGTGTGTTGCAAGTATTTGACCGTGCCTGAAACTGGTCAGGGACTGCTGCCCAGCCCCAACAGAAAGATCACCTAAGCTCCTCCGCAGACAGGAGAGGGGCATAAGGGGCCTCTGTCCCCTCCTAGGCAGCCGAGAGCCTCAGGTCCACTAGTTCCGCTCTCCTCCCCCGGGGGTCAAGGCTCCATCACGCGAGTTTGAGCACTGAGCCTGAAACACACAAGAAGACTGGCTCTTGGGGTGAAGGTTCAAGAAGACCGAGGAAACCCGGAAACCCTGTACAGACCCTACCCCTCCCTATTAAGGCACCAGGCCCTAATAGAAAGCTCGGTCTCTCACCCGATTCTCTGATGCTTGCCCACAACTGACCAGGGGGAGCGGGCAGGGTTCATTGTTCGTGCTGAAATCCATAATGACCACCTGAAATCGCCATGCCCCAATGTTTGCATCAAATGCTTATATGTTTCCGGTTAGGCTGTTGGGAGTTAGAGATTAACCAACCTAATGGCCATGAGTGCACAGCGTGCACCTGCAGGCTTTGTGACTGCGGGGCGGTTGAAGACAAAATGCATGTCTTTGTGGAATGCCTGGCGTACATTAGTACACGGGCGAACGTGACCTCGTGTTTCAAGGGTGCAACATGCACACCATTATGACCGAAGCCCCACCCCTGGCACTAGCCAGGTTCCTCTCGGAAGTCTGGGAGACCCGGCATGTTGCTCTAAGGCGCTCCGTGCTCAAGCGGACGAGGGTGGACGATGATGGTCCACCAAAAACCGCCCTAAAAACGATTTACCGCCCATGGGCCCCCAGCTCTTACGGACACCCCCACACTTGTGTGGAACTTGTGCGGACTAGGCTAGTTCCTATCAGTCCACCGCCGGGGCTAGGGATGCCTCGAGGCAGTGTGGTTGTTACAGTGGGCTCCAGACTCACAAAGAGTACAGCCAGCGGGCCAGCAGGCCGTGCACTGCACCTGATACGATGAGGGCAAACAAGACTCCCACCCAGACCAGACAACACAAGTCACCTAGACATCCAAAAGCAAATCCAAGGGCAGGCTCAGAACCCGCAACCACAGGGGAATTTGCAATTAGACTCCCCGATTGGCGAAAGTCCTCGGAACCCCACCAGAAGGCCCATAAGCAAATACTGCTAAGAACTTGATGAGATACATTTAGCAAATACTGATAAGAACTAGATGAGGCCTGAGTGAGCTTGTGCGTATGAACAGCTACATTGCATTGCTCAGACAGCTACATTGCACTGCTCAGACAGACGAAGCCACATAGGCCGCAAGCCACTTCAGCATAGTTACGCCTGCGATCGGCCATAGCCCGCAGACGCGGACGCCGCAAATGCTATCTGTTTACACCCTACAGGCGTGGTTCACGTACGTATTCGCGTATATAGAATTTCATATAGAAATTTTGCGTGTTCCTTGCGACTTGCGACTTGCGAGTTGCGAGTTGCGACTTGCAACTTTAGCAGTACCCGCAATTTGTTATGCAAGCAGTCACCTCGCACCCGCAATTTGTTATGCAAGCAGCCATAAGCAAGATGGTTCTCCTCCTGGACGCTCGTGTGCATAAGAATCTCATCCAGAGTAGTAACACAGCAAAGGAGCTCTGGGATGGTTTGAGGAAGATGTACGACGATCTAAACGACGCGGAAGTGGCGTCGCTCGCAGAAGCCTTTGAGCAAATCAAGAAGGGAGACAATGAGGCCGTGGACGCATACGTCACAAGAGCCTACGAAATGTATCTGAAGGTCACACGGCACGAGGACTACAAGATGTCAGTTCCATTGGGTATTTTGAAAAGCGTACGAGGCTTGAGTGATAACGAGTTTGGTACCGAGGAGCGCGTTTTCAGGGCTACTGGGTACCCGAAGACATTTGAGGAGCTAAGGGCGCGCTTGCTGGCGATCAACGCCGAAGCGAATGTTTCTGCAAGGAAGACCGAGTCCGAGCCAGTAGCCGCGTTCATCGCAAATCGCAGTTCCAAGGCACATTTGATATGCTATTCCAGTGGCAACACTGGTCACATCGCCCGCGAGTGCTCCAACGCAAAAGGTGGCACTATGCAATCTCCGGGCTTCGGTTCTTCCTCTTCCCGTGTACCGCGCTCAACGCCAGCCGACTCAGCGACGTTGAGGTGTGATTAGTGCGGGAAAGACGGTCATGTCGCATCGCGGTGTTTTCGAAAAAAGGAGGGAAAACCGCGAATTGGTAAAACAGAAATAGTCGCTCTAACCTTGGTAGCTCGCGAACAAGAATTTACGCCAGGATATGTGGGACAGCACGGGAATGGCAATCTAGAAGGGTTTTCCTCTTATGATCACTTTATTCGGCACAGACGTAGGTACATGTTCCATGATCCCGTGCATCCGTCCGAGTGGGAGAATGGGTCGCGGTGGTGGCTTGATTCCCCGTTAAGTAATGATGTTTCTATAACTATCGAGGTGGGCAGTGGTCAAGTACTGCCAGCCGCAGGATATGGTTCTGTGTACCCGTCCTGCGTTCGTGGAGTGAAAGTTGAGCCTGATCTCAGTAGGTGTGCTGTCGGATAAGGGCTTCCGAGTCACCTTTGAGGACAAGTGGGCCACTATATGGAAAGGTCCATTGCGTATCAAAGGAATCAGGTGCAAAGAGGGTCTTTGGAGTATTTTGAGTCATGTTAACCCTGCCCCTCCTGAGGCTTTGCCTACCCCAGCTTTGCGAACCAACATGCTGCTGCAGCCCATTGCATATTGAAGCACAACAAGACGCGTGTGAGACAGCGCCGTTTCTGTCAAAGTTCAGGACATGGAGATACCCATCCACGACTTCCTGCAGGGTTCCGACGTCGGTGAGGAAATGTTCCGTGATAAGGTTACCAGATTATCATCATCCTTTCTGCGGGCTGGGTACACTGTTATTGCAATGCATCCCTTCCTGTCAGTGGTTCTTGGGGGCCGGGAGCCCCTCCAGCGCCTCACAGCGAAGTAATAAACTATCACATAAATTCGGAAAGTGTAATATTTCATAAATAATAAAAGGATACCTCGCTCTTAATGAGAAGAATTAGCACTGGTGGTAAAATGGCGTGCACTTGCTTCTTACATGTGAATACCCTTGTGCACATACCCTATGTGAAATTTTCGCAGAGTGTCCGATCAAACAGCTGTCATCGCACTGCGGGACCTTAGAGACCGCCTGGCAGCCCAAGGTGACAGCTGGATTGCGCTGTGCCCATCACACCTTTATATTTGGGACAAAGCGGAGGTCAACAGCAACATTACCACTGCGGGCCATGGTACAGGGACTTCACCGCCTGGTAGGCAACTACTTCCGGAGGTGGTGGCGGCAAGGGCAGCAACGGTGGCAGCGGCGGTGGCACCTGGGCCTGTGGCGATTCAACCGTGGACGCCCTTCACCACCATCTGGTGCCGCCGCCTCTGCCACCGTTGCTGCCCTTGCCGCCACCACCTCCGGAAGTGGTTGCCTACCAGGCGGTGAAGTCCCTGTACCATGGCCCGCAGTGGTAATGTTGCTGTTGACCTCCGCTTTGTCCCAAATATAAAGGTGTGATGGGCACAGCGCAATCCAGCTGTCACCTTGGGCTGCCAGGCGGTCTCTAAGGTCCCGCAGTGCGATGACAGCTGTTTGATCGGACACTCTGCGAAAATTTCACATAGGGTATGTGCACGTAAGACATGGTCTGAACAACATGCCTTGGGAATTCACATGTAAGAAGCAAGGGCACGCCATTTTACCACCAGTGCTAATTCTTCTCATTAAGAGCGAGGTGTCCTTTTATTACTTATGAAATATTACACTTTCCAAATTTATGTGATAGTTTATTACTTCGCTGTGAGGCGCTGGAGGGGCTCCCGGCCCCCAAGAACCACCGACATTGGGTTAAGTAAGCATCACTACATAGCTCTGGCATTTATGTTAGCAGCAGTGAAACGAAAGCAGGTATTGAATGGAGATACACGCATCATAACATCGATACCTGGCTTACCTGCGATTGCCTATACGACCTGTCTTGGAGTGCTGGCGCTGTGCCGTCCTGTGCACAATCAAGTGCAGGTGCATGCGCCCTGACGAGATGCTGTCCTGGTAAAGTAATAATATATTGATCGTTAAATAAATTAAAAAGAAAAAGGAGTAATAAGGCAAAAAGATTCTGATCCTATTTTAATGGAACTTGCTACAACTTCTATAGACTTGGCAGTAGCTTCAGGCTTGATAATATAGTAAGCAATACGATTTTTGAGCCTTTTATAATTTTCTATATTTTAAAATTAACCTTAGGAAACGGTATCTTAAACCCTCGTAGTGTTCAAGCAAATCGTTAGTTCACCGAAGTTACCTGCATTACGGTACAGGAAAAACTAAGCAAGAATTCCTGTAGTGGCTAGTAACGTTTCCATTACCTGCATACTGACGGTATGAAAGCACAACACAAGGCCCAGCTTGCTGCCTTAATCAAGAGTGCACACTGTGCAGTAGCTTCTGGACAATACACATACAGGATAATGTCAGCAGCTGAAATTCGCCCGATAATTCCAAGACAAGGAAGGGATGCATTGCAATAACAGTGTACCCAGCCCGCAGAAAGGATGATGATAATCTGGTAACCTTATCACGGAACATTTCCTCACCGAGGTCGGAACCCTGCAGGAAGTCGTGGATGGGTATCTCCATGTCCTGAACTTTGACAGAAACGGTGCTGTCTCTTGTCTCAAAAGGTAGCATCGAAGACGTCCGCACGCGTCTTGTTGTGCTTCATTATGCAATGGGCTGCAGCAGCATGTTGGTTCGCAAAGCTGGGGTAGGCAAAGCCTCAGGAGGGGCAGGGTTAACATGACTCAAAATACTCCAAAGACCCTCTTTGCACCTGATTCCTTTGATACGCAATGGACCTTTCCATTGTTTGCGAGCTACCAAGGTTAGAGCGACTATTTCTGTTTTACCAATTCGCGGTTTTCCCTCCTTTTTTCGAAAACACCGCGATGCGACATGACCGTCTTTCCCGCACTAATCACACCTCAACGTCGCTGAGTCGGCTGGCGTTGAGCGCGGTACACGGGAAGAGGAAGAACCGAAGCCCGAAGATTGCATAGTGCCACCTTTTGCGTTGGAGCACTCGCGGGCGATGTGACCAGTGTTGCCACAGGAATAGCATATCAAATGTGCCTTGGAACTGCGATTTGCGATGAACGCGGCTACTGGCTCGGACTCGGTCTTCCTTGCAGAAACATTCGCTTCGGCGTTGATCGCCAGCAAGCGCGCCCTTAGCTCCTCAAATGTCTTCGGGTACCCAGTAGCCCTGAAAACGCGCTCCTCGGTACCAAACTCGTTATCACTCAAGCCTCGTACGGTTTTCAAAATACCCAATGGAACTGACATCTTGTAGTCCTTGTGCCGTGTGACCTTCAGATACATTTCGTACGCTCTTGTGACGTATGCGTCCACGGCCTCATTGTCTTCCTTCTTGATTTGCTCAAAGGCTTCTGCGAGCGACGCCACTTCCGCGTCGTTTAGATCGTCGTACATCTTCCTCAAACCATCCCAGAGCTCCTTTGCTGTGTTACTACTCTGGATGAGATTCTTATGCACAGTCCACACGCGCGGGACAGTGTAAAGATTCCTGGCGCTGCTGCCGTGTACTTTCCACGGAGGATAGTCCAAAAAACGTATCGTCAGCTGTACTTGGATTACCTGAATCAGCACAGCACCGCCTTCCACGTGTCCTTTGGCTTCTTCGTGGGAGCAAAGCCTGGGTACGTCAAACCTTTTAGGGTAAGAGGAATTGTAATGTTGTTTCAGCTTGTTGTTGTAGTTGATGTTGTTGTTGTTGTTGTTGGTAGGGTGTTACATTGATGTTGTTGTCTCGCCCGAGAAAGGACGAGCACCGGGGGCCCTGACCGGGCTGAAACACAGCGCAGGGGTGGGCGCGCGGCTCTATGTCCGTCTGTTCCTCCACGCGCGCCTCTATTTTATCCAATCCCCAAATCCCAACATATGACATATTTGGAATATCACAAAAAGAAAATATTGTTTGCAGGCAGTACAACGGTCAGTCTGTGTTTGTATTCGGTGTGTGGAGAACCTCCTTAAAGCTGCCTCTATGTATCGGTGGAAGTTAGCACCGGCGCCGCTTCGTGGGACGAGGCTTAAGCGGGTCCGACCACAAATGCAACTTCCTGAGACGCTCACAGTGCAATCTCTGCTATCTGCAGCATTCTGTCAGCGGGAATTAGAAGTTCACGAACCGGAAGAGCTTGGCCTTCTGCCACACAGTGCATGCCTCTCTCACGCGTGTGCACGCTGTGGCATCGAGGAGTTAGGCTGGTACTGCCTGGAGAAAGTACGTGCCCGGTATCCACATTATTGCAACCGCCAACCCACTCACGATCGTGTGTCCTTGTTCAATAAATAGTGTTGCAAGCTAATCTGTAGGTCGTGTAAAATGCTGTCCTACTGCTGCAGCCTATGGCCTTCTGCATCCTTTATCTGACATTACATGATGTGTGGGACAGGGGGGCACACCTTCACCCACGGCCGCTACCCGGCGAAACCCTGCCTTCCCCGGTATTTCGGGGCACCCTCATCCAGTCACCCTAGCCGGCTTCTCAGTGGATCGCCCAGGTTCAGCGCCCACCACCAGCATCTGCCGGATCAATGGGAGTCCTGCTCACGCATTTTCGTGTGTTATTCGGATCCTTGCTTAACAGGTTCCTGACGGTGTTGAAGACGAGCTTCGTCACGAGACCTTCGATCCAACGGTCGAGGTCAGGCAGATCTGCAAGGGCCAAGATACAAGCAGTGATCGTGTGGAGTACATAGAAAAGCGTTGCAAGCTCTCTCAAGTTGAACGGTGGGTGCTGAACGACTTCGGCGACTTTGCACAGCACCACTTCAGCAAGGTTTGGCAACGGCGCATGTTTCACATGCTGTCGGACCCAGATCGGCAACTGGCCCACGAGCTCGTAACCACAGCCGACTTCTCTGAGAAGCTTGTGCTTAAGTACCAGAACGAGCCTATGGCGATGCACTGGGCCGGTGTTACCATGTGCATCCTCGTCGTTGTGGTGTACATGATGGACAACAGCAGGCCCGGTAAGTTCCACAAATGATCTGGAAGAATGCAAGCTCGAGTGACGGCGCCTGTTTGGATTTCTTTACATATGGAATCTCTTACCCTTGTGTATACAGGTGGCGCACAACACGTGGAGTCGCACTTCTTCATAGGGTGCGGTGACTGCAAGCAGGATGCATCCTACGTGAATTTGTCGTACAAAATGCTCCTTGACGACATTACAAGCAGGTACCGCTGTAGTAGCTGCAGATTGAGCAGTTCACCTGCATCAGCTATAAGCCCGTGCAGTCCACGCAGAAATTTCATTCAGTACTCGCAGCAGGACCACCAAGGACAATCCATGTTCGGAAGCGCAGCTGTTCTTGTGATTTTTGCCGCCATTTCGCGGCTGGCGTGCCCAGTGCAACTGATCGCTGTGCATTCAGTGACCATGTTGATGACTGGTGCTGCATTACACTTGAGCCGTCGACAGAAGCAGCCACAGCAGAACCAGAAAGCTCCACGGTTATTGATGTGGACACCGTGATTGCGTTGCAAAATGATGAACCTGATGACTTTCCTGGGTACGACTACTGCGGCAGAGACGTTTTCCAGGGGTTGGGTGAGGTTTGAAGCGGGAGACAGCGTGTGTGTCCAATTCCAGATGGGAATACTGGTCAGCCCCGGTGCACAGGCATGCCATGTTGTAGTGCTCGTTGATACGCGGCGCATACCATGAAAAGCCCGATATTCTATATAAGATATTTACGCTCAAGCGGTCGTTCGGCCGGAGTTACATGTCGATCAAGATTTAGGTTCGGCCGGAGATACATGTCGATAACATTTTACATGCCTGCAACAACAACGACAACATCATTTTGCAGATACCGCAAACAACCCTCACAACAATGCGCAACGGGGTTCATTTCCGTACACCTGCTGCTGCTACTGCTGTGATGCTTATGCACGGCCCCCCTAAGCAGCAATCCGGCAGCCCCCAGCCACCATCCGCAGTTAGCGCTAGCAGAACCCCAGGTTACGTCGTGTCGTGTGTACAAACTCACCTGGAGCGCACTTTTGCGACTGTGTCACTCCGCATCCGCATCGCCTTTTGCCCCCCCCTTCCAGATTATCCAGATGTTCACCCGTCCAGCGTTCTGCCTTGCTGCCGTACTCATCCGAATCGCTTCCCGCACACCGCGATCAATCCACGTTCCCTCTTATCTATCTATCCATCTATCTACCTACCTATCTATCCATCTATCTATCCATCTACCTATCTGCACTCACTCTCCAGACAGCTGTCTGTCTATCTATCTATCTATCTACCTATCTAGCGCAGCTAAGCAGCTTTCCCGACCCCCCCAGCCAGGGGGCCCCAGGCCAACCTCTCCGAAGTCCCCTCAGCCCCGCCGCTCGCGCTTCTAGGCTCACACACCACACCACACCACACCACATCACACCACATAGGGCAAGAAAGCTGTAAAACGAACTGTCCACGCGGGACAGGGCCCACCGCGGCTGCCTCAGCGAGTTGCTGGCTACTGCTGCTGTGCCTACTTGTTACGGCTCGCCGCCGCGGCTACTGCCGTCCTTCTCACTGCCGTCCTCCCGCTGCTGCTGCTGCTGCTTCTGTCTGGCAGTAGCCGCCCCCCGGGGATTAGTCAGCGCCTCGAAGTCCTGGGGGGAGGTGCGCTTGAGCTCCTCCATCACCTGCTCCCCAGCGGAGAGTGAGGAGGAGGAGGAGGCGGAGGGGGCAGCCAGCGGGGTTCAGGGGGGTGAAGAAGGTGGAAGATATGCTGGGAGGGAAGGCGGGGAAAGGAATCCCCCGGGGGCTGTTGAGGATGTGTACATGGGCCCCAAAGTGGACGTGAAGGGCGAGGACTACCCCTCCTTGACGAACGTTGTACGACGTACGGCACGGTTCGGCACCGCTGCCAACCTTCAGCGGCTCCCTACCTTCCGTAACCCGCTCTACTCGGTCCACATGGCACCGGCCCGTTGCGCCCTCCGCTCCCACTCAGGCCACCCACGCACCTGCGGCTGACCGGGATTGTTGACTCCGTGCTTGAGGGTGTCCCAGGCCCCCGCAGCCACCTCCTTAAGCCGCTCAGCCACGTAGGCGCCCGGGCCACCCCTGGTGCACATACATACATACATACATAAGAACTTACATGACACACACACACACACACGCCTGCACGGGAGAGCTCACAGCTTTGTTTTGTTGATGACAACTCAGTTATAACAACGTGTTGTTGAGTGTTCGTGCCGTTATTGTTGTTTTTGTTGGCAGGAGCTGCAGCACATAGTCAGGAAGAAGTCCCTCTGCAGTGCCCGACAGACAGACAGACAGACAAACAGACAGACAGACAGACAGCGTACATACAGACATCACGACGCGGTGCCCCTCCTTACCACCCTCCTTCCAACCCCCTCCGCAGATACCCCCTCCACATGGCATATCCCTACCCACAGCCATACGGACCTTACTCGCCTCAACCCCGGCCCCAATACACACACACACTCGATCCCCCGTACCCCCCTCCCCTCCATTATTCCACTCACGCGCCCACACTTTTGCTGCCCCCCGGGCCGGCGGGCCTCAGGGGGTCGAGCTCCTCCGCTGTGGGGCCCCCGGGGCTGCGGCGGTCCAGGGAGCCCCCCTCCCCCCCCTCCTCCCCCTTCCCCCTGGAGGCGGCAGTGGTCCCCTCGCTGCTCATGGCGCCATCCACCGTCTGCTGGTGCCTATCATCGTACAATGTAGTACAGTGTAGTGGGGAGGGGAAGGAGGTGAGGTAGCGGGCAGCAGCAGCGCCAGCAGGAAGGTGCTAGCGTGCCGCTTGTTGATGTTGATGGTGGAGGGAGTCGGTAAGGAGAGGTGACGAGGCAAGCCGGGAGGCCGGGACGGCTGCGGTGCATGTGCGCGTTATTGGGAATAGCTGTCTGTAAAGCTGGTTGTGATATGCGGGTGATGGTGGTGCAAGGGGCAACAACAGGGGCTTGAAGTCACACCGCTCCATGTTTGATGTCTCCTCCATGCGACGGCACGGTCCTGTAGGCTCGTTACGCATGTGCACTCCACTTCATGTTCGCTCCCTGACTGGCTGACTCCTCCTCCCCTCCCCCCCAGCCGCCAGCCGCACCAGATATTGCCCTTGGGTCTGGAGGGATCGGGTCCGGTGACTCCGACCTCGCGGCCCTGCTCGTCCAGCTCCGTAACCACGCTATCACGCCCAGAGGCGGATTTGCTGCCCTGCGCAGACGGACATACGTAAATACGCGTCATACATTTAGCGGCTGCAGCGTCAACAGCATCAAACCATAAATATCAGTAGCAATTGCAGCGGTCTCCAGAGGGGTGTCGGAGTTATAAACAGTTGCTAGCTAATAAGGCATAAAGCAATCCTTACAGCGGAACCAGGACGGGTACAAGGGCTAAGGCATGTTGTTACCACGCCTCGCGCCACCGCCAGGTCCAACAGATAAAACATATTATTATGATGATGATGAAGATGATGGTAGTGATGATGATAATGGTATTATGCACAGCCAGATGATGTAAATGAGGTTTTGATGTCGATGGGATGTTCATTGGGAGGAGCGACCCAGGGGTCATCCCACCAATTGTGGCTCGGTGATCCATAATAACAGGCAGGCGGATCGACAAACAAATAAACAAACAGGCAGATGGAAAGCGCACACGCGCCTGGTCTGCGAAGTACGCAGCAGCGGCGGAGGGTGAGGTGGTACCGACGGGGCGGCCAAAGCCGCGGCAGATACGCGCTGGGCCCCAGATGGAACCGGGATAGCGGCTGGCGGCCCCAGCGCGACCTTCCACGATGGCCGATGCAACATTGTTTAGCAGCCTGAAGATCGTTAAAGACCGCATGATTTCTATTGCTGGTGATGTGTTGATGACGCGTAGTGAGGGAATGCAACTCCTTAACGCGCGTTATCACAAACCCTGGGCAGTGGATTGCTTTTTTGTTGCCTTGTCTACTGGGCTGTCGCTGATTCCGTTCCTTACAAAATTGACAGCTGGTATCGGTCCTGGTGCCGGTTTGGAGAAGCAGGTTGGTTATTTATGTAAAGTAATTCGTCGAGGAGAGGAAGAGCTATTCACTGATTCTGCTTTTTGAGATCTTTTGGTGCAAAGGGATATTGCTGCGGGAGGGAAGCGGGTAGTACAGCAGGTTTCTTTTTTTTTACTTTTTGCTGTTGATGACTCACGCCGACCTCCGCGTTCCGCCGCCCAACAATTCGCCGACCATGCACATAGCCACGCAAGCGCGCACACGATTTCCCTAGCCAAAGAAACACATTTATTATTTTACACAAACCTCTAATGCCCCTGTCTGTTTATGTGTCTGTCAGACCCTTCCCCCTATGCGCCACATCATATTCTGCCACTCCCATCCATCCATACATACATACACGCGTCCCGCACAGTACGCGAACCACCACTGGTTCCCGGGTCGGTTCTGTCTATCCCTGCTGTACTTTTGAAAGCTGTGAATGGGCAGCTAGGGTGTCTAGCTGGCCGCTTCCAAAAGGAGGCATGCACAGCAGCCGCGGCTGGGAAAAGCGCTAGTTATCCAGTCACCAAACCGCCTTCCGACAGTGTGACTGCCACATTACAAATGGTTCTAACTATAAGTTCTTTCTCTCTCTCACTCAAGAGTACGGCGCTTCCATCTATAAAGGATATGTACGGAAAATTCCCGTATGGACCAGAAACCGTCGCATTACTGACCAGCGATCGAAAGGAACATGCGTCCCGGACCTTAAGACGATAGCGTACGCAGGTTCTATGCGTTTCGATGCTGCTCAGCTTCGCATCACAAGATGCCGCCCGGACATGCGTGCGGCTGCTTGCTGCCGAGGCAGCTGCTCATCCGTGGCATCACTGGCCGTGCGATGGTGTCCATTGTGACTTCGGCGTTCTGTATATGTGCATAGGTGGCTACGCAGCATTCACAAAGCAAGTGGGGAGGTCAAGGGCAAAGGTGAAGCATTTCATGCCGCGACTTACAGGCGTCCAAGTGCTTCATCATGCTGGTATAACATGTGGATTGAGAGGCGAAAGTCTTTCAAGGTCAAGGCGAACTCGATGCATCTTGCACCCATGCATAGCATGATGCCGTATAGCACGACACGCATTGCACGGTTTAGGGTTTGTGTCGCAAGTATCTTTTTAAAAGGAATACACTATAACTCTTGCTACCATGACACATGTTCCGACCCTTTTGGAAACTTCTCTAGAAGTAATTGCTGCAAATATTGGCACCTACGACACCTTGGACTGCGTTCCTGAGGATCTACTTCTCTATCTATTTCAGGTTGGAAGACTATTACATTTGGCGGGTGCGCTCTTTTTGGGGGGGATCCTTGAAGACGCAAGGTTTGAATGCCTGCAGCGAATCCTGGGCCTGGGAAAGCTTACGCCCCGCGTTCTCAGAGTTTTCCAGGAGACTCAGCGTAATGGTGTCCTTCAACAAATCAGGTGGGACGCAATTCGCTTTTCCAAGGTGAACATGGCTGACGCAACGTTGCGTACCGCAGGGCTCTAAATCTTTGCGACCCGCCACCCATAATAAAGGATACGCGAAACCCTTGGATGGGTCAGAAACCGTCGCTTTACTAAAGCTTGGGAGCGCGGCTCTCGGGGGTTTCTTTTCCGTCTATTAGTTTCGGATATTTTTTTATGATAGGAGATCAGGCCTTGACTGGGTCCACGATTGGAAACGCCGGGCTGCAGAGCTCTAATATAATGGCGGGGTTGAGCTGAGCATGGGAGGGGGCGACCCCTGAGAATGAAGACGTTAGCAGGTAGGGCCGGGACGCCCAGTGTTCCTACAAGGGCAGCTTTGCAGGGTCCGGAATACGTGTACCTGAAGACACGAGGACGAATCGGGGATGCATGTCTCTCCGTACGCCGTCAGGTGTATTTGATCAGGGGTCATGGGCCATGTTACTCGGGACGTCTCCCTGCTGGGGCGGAGCTGGGCATGGGCTGCCGGAGAGGGGTTCCCAGAATGGTCGCAACTGCGTCACCTTGCCTGTCCACGTGCGGGCTAGGTTGAAGGGAACTGACGACTGCTTTTGATGTGCTTTTTATTTGCTTTGCCCTTTTGACCAGCCTGACTGGCTGTAACACTTGCACCGCCGCGCTTCTGGTTGGCTTTTACGGTGAAGGAATTGGCGAAGCGTGGAGAGAATTTAAAACACCGCAGACGAACGGAACCACCACCGTCACTGCTGCTGGTACCTCTCCCACCTTCTCTTCACCTTGCCAGGAATTTAGACACCACCTCGGGTACCAGAGATCCCCCCTGCCACAACACCAGGCCACCGCAGAAGAGAACAGAAACCGGCAGATGGCTCGCTCAAAACCCAAAGTAACACGCAACTCAAGAAGCCGTAAAGCACCTGGTGACTTGACGTATGCCTACGACGACGTCACCTTCCTAACTACCTTGCATCAGACAGGCCTGTACGTGGACGATGTAGACGGATGACGGACACAAGTTAGGGACATGCACGGGAACTCACGCGACACGCATCACGCACACAGACAGACACTGCAGGGCCTATCACGCACGAAATCCGTTTGTATGGATCCCCAGAGGCAAAGCACCCGCAAACAGTCCGCGTATCAAAAGGGTCGGGCAAGGCCGCAATCACCCAATCAAGGGCGAAATGACATCATACCTGACCTGACCAATACTTACCCATTAAGCCAACCCATACAAAAGCCACCCCGGCGGCCACATGGAGGAGCCCCTCCAAACCACGCAGCACCATAACGACGAACACTAGACAAAAACGGCACGGCACAACAGGTATCGGGGGCGCCAGTGGCCCCCCCGCTGTGACCCACATGCAGGCCGCAGTATTGATGTTGAGACACGCAAGGAGATGGCAGAGCCCGTGAAAGGGCCGTCAGCAAGCGATTCGGTTTATTAATTACGATCGAAACACTCTCAGCTTGGGTGGGCCAAGTAAGCAGCAGAAGGGGCCGTGTGAATGTAGGCGAGGAACACGTAGAGGGTCCCCCGCGGGGGGGCGGCAGGGGTGGCGGGCAAGTGAGCTCGGGACACCGGGGGACATACATACATACATACACGCAGCAGATGCAAAGCCGCTGTCATCGAGGGCACGACGCGACAGGGCAAAGAGGTTTCCCTCACTGCCTTTCAAGACGCAGATGCAGCAAGCACGCGGCCGCAGGCGTGGCTCCCCACCATGCCCACCTTAACGACCGGGTTAGATCTGGATCACCCCCAAGGCTCAATGCCTCGCAGCCGCCGCACCGGTTCGCACTGCACCGGGTGCTCAACATGCCTGTTAGGATGGAATGGGTGCAGGGAACCGACTGCCCTCCCACTGCTGGTTGTCGGAAGCACTCATAACACCTCGTCATGGCGGAAGCGGCTAAAGCTCCAGACCCCTCCACTACCGTCGCGCCGCCGCACCATCACCACCACCGCAATCAGCACCACTGCAAAAGTAAGCACATCATGGCTCCAAACTCCATAATCGCCGTCCAGTCCCAGTCCCAGTCAAGCCCACCTCTCACCCTTTCCACAGCCACATCGCACGGGGACACCCTCCTCCTTTCCTCCTCCAGACGAGGGGGAGCGCGACTCACTCCGTCCGGTTACAGGTCTTCAGCCAATATGTGCGGTACTGCCGATAGCAGTGGGGCTCTGAGAGGAGTACAGCAACATGCCTTCATGCACCACCACCCTCACCACTGCCAGCACAACACCCTCTTCGCCGGCATTTCAAATGTGTATCAAAATGCGCCACATTGCCGGAGCACCACCACAAAACCAGTGGTGGTGGTGGTGGTGGTGGTAATGATGGTGATGATGACGATGGTGGTGATATGGCAAGTGGGGGGGGGCCCAAACAGCAACCCCCAGATGGGAAGAGAAGTAACACAGCAGTCAAGCAAAGGCCCCACCTCGGCCCACTCCTCTGCGCCGGTTGGCGATCCAGCGGTTGGTTTCCGGCGGCCGCGTCGGCGGCCTTCACACGTACGGCACACCAGCACCTTGAGACATTCAGGGAAGCCAGTCAATTCGCCACATGCGGCAATATCTAGGATGCCGTACTACTACCAGTACTATGGGAATGGCGACGATGATGATGACGACGGCTGCGCACTGCTGCCGTTATTACTACTATAGTACTGCTGCTGCTGTCAGCGAGAACGGAAACAGGACCGGAAGGCGGGGAGGCTGTTGTTGAAGCTGGGCGGAATATTCGGTACGGAAGCCACATGCCATGCCATGCATGACGGAGAGACACACGGGTTGCCGTACCATGTGCGCATGTTCCAACAAAACACACACACGCCGCAAGGCAAGCGTAGTTGTATCAATAGCCCCGCCGGTAACATAGGTGCGACATGGCATGGGTGCGCATATCGGCGGCCTGAATGCCCCGAATGCCATTTCGCCGTCCGCGTTGTCAACGACCAACCAACCGCCGCAGAAAGCGACCTGCGTCGCGTGCTGGCTCTGAGGGCCAGGACATCGCATGGGGCATGGCAGGAGCCAAGTACCCGCACGCGACGCAGGTCCGCTGCCTCTTGCCATAACCCGCAGCCGCAGCCCTCCTCGCGCCAGGATCTCCCCCACTTCCCGGTCTCGTAACCCCCCCCTCCTCCCCCCGCCTTCTGGCGACGGTTCAGAGCGCCCCGATGATACAGCAGCCCCGGGCGGACGATACGACGATACGCCAGACGACAACAGCACCGATGGACCATCTCCTTTCCATTCACCGCCGCAAACCGCAAAGCCACACAACGACGGGGGAGCACGTCCCAGAACACACGGTCTCCTGTCCCTTTACACAACCCCTCTCGCGCTTATAATGTGGATGATGGTTCTTCTGGTCGCGGCCGGCCCCATCGCCACACGAAAACGCCATACACACACACACACACAGCGGAATCGCCCCCCCCCCCGCCCCCCCCCCTCGATAATGAACCCGCATGCCCGTGCTCCTCCCCTCCAACAACCCCCCGTTCTACACCACCCCAGTCCCTACCGTCATGACTCACCATCTCATAGGATGAGCATCCTCAGCTCATGATTAGAGTCTCACCACCACCACCATCACCACCACCACCGGCACGAACCAGCGGTTAAGAGTTATCGCGGCCCCTACTGCGGCCCCTCCACCCCGGGGTGACAGGAGGAGGACGGGGAGGCGCGGGAATGGGGCGCGGGAGTTCTATCTACTCCCCACGGCTTGGGCAGTACAACTCCGGGGATCCCACATCACCCACGTAGTCCCCCACCTCCCCCCTACCTCGGTCACGCAGAGGAGGTAAACATGGCGCCGGCCGTCCCCCCCCCCACCACCACCACCACCACACGCGACTCCGGTCACCTCCATGCAGCTCCACCATTCCAGCTGGGTAACACACCGCACCGCAACAACAACACCAGCAGCAGCACCACCACACCGCTCCAGTCTCTCCCCCCCCCTGCGGCCCAGATCAGTGAAACACCCTCACCACACCACACCACACTGTGCCAGGCGAGGAGAGCTTCCGAAGCCTAAGGGAGTCAGGTGCGTGGTGGGTGGGTGGGGAGGTGGGAGCAGCAGAAGCGGCTCACATGCCCCAGCTACACAGCAGCCATCTATCGCTCCTCCCCTCGACGGGACGCACAACGGGCCCCCAGGAGTACAAACCCCCCAGGACACGACGTGATCTCGTCAAGCCCGGGTACGGCAGTAGCGACGGCAGCTCGCGCCGACACGCGCACTCGCCGCCCCGCTCCACTACAAGAAGAGGTACTGCGCCACATCCGACAAGGAGATGATCCCCTCCACTCGCCTCGTCTCCGGATGCACAACCACCAACCGCCTAACCCCCGGCACCGCCAACCTCTCAACCACCGTCCGCAGCGTGTCGTCCTTGGTCACAACCCACACACGAGCGCCCAGCTGCGAAGAGAGGGAACCGCCGGTGGCGGCGGAGTTGGAAGCGGCTCCGCCGCCGCCGCCTGCCGCGCCGCCGGAGGCAGCACCAACGGCTCCGCCTCCGCCGGCGGTTGCAGCTGCCGCCGCCGCAAACTCCGCCGATATTCCGCCCATCCCCGGCGGCTGCGTGTTGGCTGCGGTTCCAACTGCGAGTCCTGCAGCTCCCCCGGGCGCCTGGGCCCAGGACACTGGGCTGTTGTGAGAGAGGGACAGACCCTGACCCACCTGCAACAACCAAACCAGGACGCGTGTGTATTGTCTGTCTGCCGACCCGTTTGCCTGACTGAATGTACTATTAATAACATGAGCCGCGTCGTGACGCAATTTGCCGCGGATGCCAGTGTGCATATTTGTGTCACTCTCTCTCCCCCCCACCCAACACGCTCGCCTTGTCAACTTTCCCCTCTCCCTTGAAGCCTTACCACGCCCCAACCCCCCTCTCCCCTATCGGCAGGCCCGCCCCCAATTCCCCCCTCATTCCCCCCCGGGTCAGACTCATCGACCCGTACATTGTACGACTAGACTAGACCCACCGTCACGTCCTCCCACTGGAGCCTGTTGTACGCGCCCCCCTTGCACAGGTCGGTGATCTGGCTCCTCGCATACACGTCCACCAGACACCGCTTCTCATCCACGACCGGCAGCGCGGACACCCCCGCCTCCAGCAGCAGCGCCAGGGCGGTGGTCAGAGAGGTGGACGCCGTAACCGTGTGGAGGGGCTGGAGGGGGGCGGGGGGGGGGGCGGTCAGAGAGGGAAGGAAAGGGAAAAAAGGGTTGCGAACACATCACTGACGTCGGAGGGCCAAGAGAAGCCAGGGGGAGGTTGAGTCAGGAGGTGGAGCGGCTGCTGGGGGTGGGATTGGGGGGGGGTTACGA